CAGAACACGCTCTGATTTCACTTTCCAAAACCTTCATTAAACACTAACTTCTTTCTAACTCATTTGAATATACGCGCACTAGTCATTTTGCATTCTGGGAAGAAAGCGTGAGTTGAAAGCAAGAGAGATAGAAAAGGCTGCTTAAACATAGAATAACTGTTAAGTAAATTAAATAAATCTTCACAACGTCTTTTGAACACATTTGCTCTTTTCTTTTGAACATGTCATGCTTTCCATGCTTTTTTCTCAGAACGTGTTTAATGTACTCAATTTCAAACAAAAAGAATATGTATTTATTATCTTTTACCGCAAAGAGTTCCGAAATTGGTAAGGGCTTATCCATGCATTTATTATTGTAATGTATTCTTTATTAATTTTTCCTGAGATCTGTTCATTCAACTGGGTGATATAATGAATTGTAACTATGTACTAATTCCTTAATGAAATGGATAAATTAAAGCAGTTGTTTTCGGTGGCAGGAAAATTGCTTAATCATTTGGATGATCTAAATGAATTTTGGTAATTAATGCGTTATCAGATAGCTAGAAAACTCAATAATTTAACTTATTTTGTTTAAATTACTTTCTACATGTGCCTTAGGTCTACTTAAAAGTCATGCTTTGCATTCATAAAAAGTCATTAATTGTATTTAATTTCTAATTAAGTATATTAGCAACATATTTCTACTTGTACATTTCGATAACGTTAATTGCCGTTTACGTCGTTTCACGTTAATTGCCGTCCAGACGGTATAGTAATTAGGGCAACCTACTGCGGTACCGAAGGGTCCGAATTCGAATTCCGGGGAAAGCATGGATGTTTACAAATGTCTTTGCGGATAGTGTCTTTGCGGCATGGGGCATTCTAAATACATGGCGAAACGAAAGTTCTCTTGTGTGGTTTGGTGGATAGGGAGAGAGGTGGGAGACCCTCAACTTCCCCGGGGTGCTCTTCCTCGAAACTGGTGTGGAAGTAGAAGTCCAACCTCCTTGAGGTTCTGGCAACCATTCTTCCGTGAAATACATGGACAAGACAACAACAGTTCACATTAATTAAAAGGATTACAAAATAACATAGATTTCGCCATGCCTTATCTGATGCATCACTAAGCTTAAGAAGCATATCAAAGTTTTTAATGCTTTAAAAACCAATTTTCTTTCGATTATTTTCTTTCACTTTGTATAACAGCCAATGCAATTTTTTCTTGCCTTCTTATCTTGTGAATGTTTCAAGACTCACATTAACAATTTTTTCAGACAGGAAGTATAGGTTAAAAATGATTATTTGCAGCTCAATCGGTACAGTGGTTATCTTCGCTGACTGAAGCGTCGTGGGGTCGGGGTTCAAATCCCGAAGAAGGCATGGATGTTTGTATATGTATAATGTCCCTTGCGGCATGGGGGCACTCTAAATTTTCGGTGATTCGAAAGTCCTCTTGAGAGGTTGGTGGTGGGAAAAGAGGGGTGGTAGACTCTAGGAGCCGTCCTCCCGGGGTGCTCTCCATCAAAATTGGGGGCGGAACTGAACTAAATTGCACTTTCACCTGTAAGGTGCTCAAGGCTGTTGTCAACGACAGGCGTTAAACTTGCGCTTCTTGCCACGAGGAATTTCGTGGGCTTGGGCTGACTTCATGTCAGACAAGTGAGCATTAGCAACAATAACAATAATGATTTTTCATTTTACCTTAAGGAACTAGATTATTAGCTTCTTTTGCTGCGTAACCCGGGTACCTGACTAAATGCGTTTCATGTGCAGTTATCAGCCCAAGAGTCAAAAGACATTTTGTTTTATCATAAGTGTCAGTGGCCGTCCTAATAAATCCTCAACGGTTTTGACCAGAAATAAAATTCCCAATGAAACGGATTGATTTTATGAATTTCGACGTAGTTTCCGTCATGTATAACATAAAATGCGAAACCCTTTTCTAAACAGATAGCATTTGATGCTTGGAAATGGAAAATTACATAATTACCATCGTTTCAAGAAGAGGCTCCAGGAAGCAAGCTGTCATCTTTATCGAAACTGAAAATTATTTAGCAATAGTTCTAATTGTTTGCAAGCTGCAGAGTATTGCTCCATGTAAATTTAAGATTTTCGCAAATTACGGTCCATATTTTATTTTATTTTATTTATATATTATTTTATTTATATTTTATTTAAGTTTGTAATTTAATTTCACAGAAATTGTCCAAAGCAAAAGTTTACATTTCATCTCTTAGTCATACTTCAAGGTTAGAATATTCACAATGGGTTTGTAAGATTCTCACTAGTGTATTTCTCAGTTACTGAAGAAAGTGAAGAATCTTAAGAACTAGATAGCGAATATTCGCTTAAGTTCATGTGACAAGAAACAACAAGATATAAGGGTAACTAACCCTTTATTATTCCAATAAGATTTAACAAAAATCCGCCTTGGAGTGTACAATCAAGGCCGACACTTGGGCTTGAACTAACTAGACTAAAAATTAAACTAAGATTAACTAAAGAAATATAGCCGAATCTATCAAGAATCTAAGATAGTTGGCCCCTTAATTCTATTTGACTACGAAGATATCAAGGGCCTGAGTACGGCCGAGTGTATACTGTTGACAGAGAGAGAGAGAGAATAGCTAAAGAGACGCCCCAAATCAGAACTTGATTCTCTCTGACTCTGCAAGTAACTTCGCGGTTTAAAACCGCTCCTCCTCATTAAGTATTCAGAATGATTCCAAACACGTTCTGGCCGGAAGTAGTAAGTTGAAGTTAAGAATTTGACAGAAAAGGAACTTTAACTTAAAATTTAACTGTTAATAAAATTAACATAATTCTTACAGGTTGACCCAAATAAAATGATGGTCAGCCAGAGGCTGAGAAACATGTCATTAGGTCCCGATTTAAATCTCGGATAAGATACAGATATTCGTCACGGTAGCTGTAAGGTGTTTCGCCCCCATGTGCCTTCGTGGTGTAATTCAAAGCACGTCCGACTAGCCTCTGGAAGTCGGGTGCTCGAATTCTGGCGAGTGCATTGCACATTTTTCATGTCTCGTGCTTTGAAATAAAAACCTGATCATTCTATATAGTGTCTTTGAAGCAAGATGGCAATTAAAATCTGTTGATGAGAAAGTCGCCTCTAGAAGTCGTTGTTTGAGAAAAAGAGGAAAAGACCCCTGGTGCTCTCGATCAAATCGAAGCTAAATCCATACGGATAATCACCGTGTGAACGAATAACCCCAAGGAACAGCCATTCAACATTCAATACACTTGTACTATTTTCCATATCATATAGTTCAACAGAGGAACTTATAAACAGAATTAAACTAGATTCTGGTGTTTTCGATAATTCTTATTGAAAGATAGGAATAAAATTGTACAGACCTCCAATATTCTTTGTATTACAATCGCTGATGTAAAAGTAATTTGCAATTTCGCTTACCTACCTCAGATGATTAATGTTCTTAAGCATCGAATTAATTATCATAAATATTTAAGTACTATATTAAATATACATGAATGCATAGTCTCAAGCGGAGAAAAACTAAAATTTATATCTGTAAATATGTTCTCCCGCTATGTTGAATCCATTTGACTTTTTTTGATAGATTAGAACCTTTTAATGAATAGAGTAAAAAGCTTATTTAAATATTACTTTATTTACTCATGCAGTTTTTTTTTTTTTTTTTTTTTTTTTTTTGCATATGATTTCCTTGTTACTTTTTCACTAATAAAAAAATCATGGAGTAAATATAAATTCTCGAAATAATTCAGTGAGTCTGAATAGGCGCTTACTCTTACGAGTGCATTGATTAATAGAAAAAGTCACGATTTTGTGCCAAAAATTTAATATTATAATATTTAACGCAAGTATAAACTTTTCGCGACTTTCTTTAGAATTTTCACAAGTGTGATTCTTCTAAAATTAAAAATGAAACTAATAAATGATTGATTATTTATATCTAAAAGAAGAGAATAACACCATTTAATGGGACATGTAACACTGTCGTTTGCTCCTTTAAATCAAAATATTAATAAATTTTTAATATCCTTGATCTGATGCAGTGCTGTTCTAGGCAGAATGCTCGAGTTTATAGAGTCATCATTTCCAACATCTCGTTAGATTAAATTACATTCAGAACCCGTCCTCGGTGCTGTAGGTTGTGGCTATTTCGAAACTCTTTTCATTATTCTCCGTAGAATCAATTTTCCCGCCTCTACTGTCCCTTCACAGACCCTTTTCCCTTCTACTTTACTTCTAAATGTCAACTGAGGTAATTTTCAGATTTCATAAGAGCTCCGTTATTCCTTCGAATTCAGTCTTTGAAAAACTTTAATTATTTGAAATATCAAATCGTTAGGCTGAAATTAAGTTTCCAAGATTAACTATTAAGTCTTCTCATCAAGCTAGTCATTCAAAATAATAATCGGACATTATATTTTTTTTATTCAAAAATATGGCAAGAAAATAAAGGTACGAAAAATGGGTAAAGGAGAACTGTAATTAAAATGTTACGAAAGTTTTCGTAGAAGTCCTACTTTCTCATAATTTATTTATTTTGGTATGAAACGTGTCAAATGATTGCGTTGCTTTACGTCAATGCTCATTGATACTTCCAAATGCCTAGTGAAAGCTATTTTTAATGTTACACTTTAAATGGAAAACAAAATGGAAAATTTATTTAAACGTAGCAGTTTCAGTAAGCTTCAGTAAAAATTTGGTTATTTTTCATAATAGCATTCATTATTTAATGTCTTATTTGTACAAGTGTATACAAAATAACACTTAGTTTTAATATTGAATGTACTATTTATATGCGTTTGTATGTGTGCATGCGTGAAAACATGCATATTTAAGGAAGATAAAAATAAATAAATAAATTTAGATTTTGTAAATGATTGAAAATAGATACCTATTTCTTCAATAGGCATATTTCAAACAATCATACTCTAATATTCCTTCTTCATTTATATACCATGGATAGAAAGAAAGCAAAAGAAGCAGAAAGAGGCCGAGAATTCTTTGGAACATGACTTTATTATTTTTGTCCTATATTAAATACACAGATTTTGCTTCCGAAGTCCTTTTTGAACACAACACTGAAAATTCCTGAAAGAAGCATCCTCATTTGTTAAATTTTCAAACAGTATTAAGTGTAAATAATATAAGACAGCATAATTTTAATCAAAACTGATAAAAAATAATTTAACTTATAAACAGAAAATACTGATGACGTTTATATTTCAATGAAATACAAATGTTCTATAATTTAACATGAACTTTTATTTTATAATCCTTACGTAATATCATCGAAATATGCAAAGAATCAACATAAAAGTACAAATTCAAGAAGCATCCTGGATTTCAAATTCATTAACTGAATAAATGAATAAATAAATAAATAAATAACAGCAGCATATTGCTAACTTAATAAGATAATTACTTTTTCCTACATGTAAAAAAATGCCTTACTGTCTTAAACAGTAGCAAACAAAATTCGTTGCATATTTGTTTTGATTTCCACTTTCCATTCGTTGCTTCATTTTGTTTCTGTTCCACCATGTAGGAAACCATACCATTAATATAATTTCAGATAGTAACTGTTTATTTGATTTTATGATGAATAATATAGAAATTAATCAAGAGTATCTTTTTCCCCACAAAATTTTACATTTAAATATTTACATACATCTTCAGAGCATTAACATTTAAGATAATCAAACGATTAAGTCACAATATTTTGTTTCCTCAGCTGTTTATTAATGCCTCGTGTAATTTTCGTGTAATTTCGACTCGTGTAATTTTCCTTTGTTAAATTCGCTTCTGGGGGAGGGACAGGTATCAGATTCATTTCTAATGGCCTTATGCAAAATTAGAAAGAACCCATAGAGATGTCAGCTTGCATGCATGTGAAGTGAAAAAGCATGAATTTAAACTTGACTAGTAAATGGAATATGCATAAAGACTCAGTTTTTTTTTAATACACTTTTTGATTATCACTTAAGCCCCGTTGGTCATTCTTACAGCTTTTGTTAGTTTTACGTGGATATGCACATATTTGGTTCCATAGTTATCTTTAAAAGTCTTATTTTAAGTGACTTAATTTATAAAGACAACGTTGAGAAACTAATATAAAATTAAAGTAGCGATTAAATTTTTAAAAACCTGCTTTATTTCCTAAATACTTAAAATATTTTGGATGATATCTTAGCTCTGGGAGTAAACAATGGAATGATTTAAATAATTTTACTGAAATCAATAAACATTGTACTATTACTCTTCAAGCTTCAATTCGAACCTCCAAAAGCGTAAATAAATTTCATGTAAATGTAAGTGGAATTTGACTATTAATGGAAAATTAATTCAGTACAATATTGGTAAATTTCGCAGGCTTGATACAATAAATTCCTAGATGGGGCAATACTTATGCTAAGTTAATAAATGATTGCTATGTTAAAATAGAGAATTTTTAATAATATTAAAGTATGTGACTAAACGTGTAAATATGAAAAAAAGTATAAATTTTTCAAACAGAATTTATTATTGCTTTTTAAATTTGTTTAACTATTCCTTATATTATTTTGTAAATTTAAACTAAATTGAAACATTAAATTACTTTTCTCATTCAGTTACATCAAGTAAATCATACATTTTTCATATTTCTATTCAGAAACTCACATACATAATGAAGCAAAGTTTGAACAGACGTTCCAAGAAGGTAGATGCAGTTTTTAATATACTTCTGGTTTCTATATGATACAAAAAAAAAGTAGTCCTTTATTTTTTAAAGCAAAATCAGATTATTTAAAATGCACTGGGACATTGTTGCAATATAAATATATTTTACAACCACATTTGCCTTAATTTACAGCTTATCTCCTTGCTTCACTATAATTACAGTGCTAATTTAAGGTAACATTCTTTGACAACCTTGATGTGATGGTTTATAGTATTGGAAAGGATACTAAATAATTGTTTAAAGTAGCATTTTACTCGAAGCAAAAGAATATTTAATCAAACTGTGAAATTTGTCATTTTTAGTAACTTATCCATCTCAATCGGTAATTTAATTGAGTATATTAAATGTTAATGAAATTGTTATTCCTTGGAACATAATAGTTTTTTAATAAATACAGCTTTAACACATCCATATGAGTTCTGGTTAACGTCTAGAAGCTCAGTGAATTAAATTTCGTTCTAGAAGCTCTAAATATCCTGTTATCTACCTTGTTGCTGACTTTTCCAGTTGCTGATGCTGACTTCGGATTGCTATCCGGTTTACATGCACCGGAATCGGGACCACTATCTTTGGAGCGTTAGGATTGGTGGTAGTTCTACCAGCAGTAATGCCAGCTTTAACGCGTTTCCACTTGGCTCTTCGGTTCTGAAACCAAATTTTCACTTGAACCTCACTCAATTTGAGGGAATGGGCGATCTGTGAGCGTTCGGTGAGGGATAAGTATTTTTTGGAGTGGAATTCCTTTTCCAATTCCAGTAACTGTTCGCTTGTGAAAGCTGTGCGCTTCCGACGAGTTTTCCCGCTTCCAGCCGCCGATCCGCTCCCGTCTCCGAAAGCGGAGGACGAATCGCAAGGTCGAGCAGAATCATCCAAAGATTTTGCCGGACGCGTTGGCAGTTCTTCCGCATCAGACGACTCGCTGGTTCGGGAGGAATCTGTTCTGACTGGAGAGAGTTGACCTGTGTGGGCGAGATACAATATTTTATTTATTAAATACTAACAAAGGAATAATTGGACGACGTTGATATTCATTTGAATAATCAGTGACAAGAATTAAAATTTCAGAGATAATGTAAGATTACGTCAGAAGTAATGTTATCTGATGAATCTAACTCTCAAATAAAGGGTCACTAATAAAGTGTTCATTGAATTAACACTTTTTACCTTTTTTTAGGGAATAGAAACCAGGTACAAAACATTTCTTAACGCGAACGTTTTATGGATTTAACTGCCCTGGTGCATCTCCTTTAAATTTGATACTTGAGAATAAGAGCTGAGCTGGCGGAAGAAATGAGTAAAAAGAACTTTTAAACTACTGTTTCCTTTCTACGTCATTGATGGTTACAAACTGATCGTGATTGAGAAGTTCTTATATAAAAAGAATTTACTGCCGTCGCGCATGACTGTCAAATATATATACATATATTTTAATATCTCTACTTTTTTAAAAAAATTAGGTGCGTAACTTAGTAAGTTTCTTGTTATCCAAAACAACTTAATCAACTCAGCTGAATATCACTTCTCCTATTTTATTATATATTAAATGAGTTTCTTTCGCATCAAACAGACAGTTTCTTTCAGCTTTAAACATGTATTTAATAAAAATATATTCACGCTGTCTTCCAAGTTTAAACATGAAGTTTAATAAAAATACTTTAATTTATTAATAAGATTTTTTGATTTTTTTTCAGGAAAAGGGTTTCAGGAAAAAGTATTAAACTTTGAAATATCTAGCTATATATTTACTTTGAAATATTTATCTTGTTTTCGTGCGCAAGAATTTGCTCTTCATTTTAAACTGAATGCTTTTGGATTGAATTTGCTATGGAAGTTATAAATGATAAATTAAATAAGAAATCACAAACATCTATATATCTGCTAAAATTTTTGATTTCAAAGTTTTATGATAACAATGATGAAGAAGCGCATTATCTGTTCATTTCTACTGCAGCTGAAATCTACTAATCACAATATTTTTAATGAATAAAATTTAATAATCTCTTAATCACAATATTTTAATGAATAAAATTTAATAATCTCTTAATCACAATATTTTTAATGAATAAAATTTAATAATCTCTTAATCATAATATTTTTATGATGCATCCTAGTTCTATAATAAATAATCTTTTAAGTTGTAAAATCTCAGACAAATTAATTTTTATTTCCTTTCAACAAACTTTTTTCCGCTCATCGACTAAGTCGCCTATCAGTGTTGTCAAAGGTCTTCAATCCAGAATTTCGTAACTAGTTTGCTTTATACAATTTTGAAATATGAACGTATTCTTGATCTCTGAAAGGAATATATTAAATTAATTAGATTAAATCTAAAATTTCTATAGCATAAAGAATGGGAAGGATCATATCAATCAAATCTTTACAAATGGATTTAGAACTGATTATATTAATGAGTAAACTTAATCCTTAAAATGAATGTCTCTATAAACGTTTCTTAATTCATCCTATTGATATCAAGTTAAGTATTGTGGCAACCAGCAGCAAATGGAACGAGTATGGATCTTATCAAGTTCACAATGATCTGCTACTCACACAAAAAAAATACAAATTATTGTTTGTTCGTATAAATATAAAATAAAAATGTTAAACTTGAAATTTAAAAAATTAAACTAATAAGCTTATATGGGAATAGAAACTCATACAATAAGTTAACGCAAAAATTCTAACTACAGCAGTTCCGCGAGTTGATGAAATTATATTTTATAAATTACATCCGGCAAGATTTTCCGAGCTATTACATTGGTCATGAAAAGTTTATGGTTTTATAATGGCATTATCATTTATGAAAACGTTTTTGACCGTCCATACGAGCTCATACGAGATTCCATTGTATATTTATAAGAAGGTAAGGATAGGCTTGCCCAATATTAATGAATTATTAGAATGAATCAGCTAATAACTGATTCGTTTCTGCATTCACTTTCTGACATCAATATCTGAGATAAACAATAGAAAAAATTGACCAAGTTATTAAGTATTTTCTTTGCTTTTCTATCAGTTTAACAGAGAGTCTAAAATATCACCAGATGTCCTTATTTCTGTTAGTACTTTAGACGAATCTGCATACAATAAATTCTGAACCATTAAAAACCTAATATTTTTATATCGAACTCTAAGGCTGATTTAAAGATATAATGGCTCTAGTGTAATAATAAATTATCACCTGATATAATAAATGAACCTTCTAATGTACAAGTGTCCAGTATTTTAGCTTCCCAGGGCCACAATGGAAGAAGAAGAGCTATTTTGTGCCTTAGAAATTATTTCTAACACCAGTAGCAGCTCGTGACCTCCAAAATACGTAAATCACACATTTGCGTGCATTTCATTGAAAATTTTCGGTTTTGCTCAGGTTTAACCGCTGAAAGATATTTTTGAATTTCACCTCTACGATAGAAATGCGTGGATTAGACCTCGTTAGTTCAAATTTGCTTAGGGTGTTCTATACATAAGAAAGCACGTATATAGGACAAATTTAAGTGAATCAGTGATTCACTTGCCTCACATGGAGAGCCGCCACTGCCTAAGACTAGCGTTGGCAGATGAGCAAAAAAAGCATAAAAATAATATTATATTTAAGTAATTTAAACGTTATTAATCTATGTTTTCTTAATATAATGATTGCAATATAGAGATGGACAAACATAATCAATATATCATAATGATGATAATTACTTTGCGCATTAAGTCAAGAGAAGATTTGTAACCGCCACTCCCCTCAAAATGCATTTTATTTCTCTCCAGCTTCGAGCGTCAAATAACCCGTCCGTTCACGTTGAAAGCCAGCCTCGTACCCCGATCACAGCAATAAAATGCATGACCGGGGTTTGGGGTATTGTTATTTTTTTCGGCTTCATGCTCACTGATATTTGCTTTCGGCCGCATATGGCTCCAGCTTGGGCACCTTTGTTCTAAACAGTATCTTTGTAACTTTTATTTTTAAGGTTTCTTACAGTTTGAAAAAAAGAGAAGGCTAAACTATTCTCAGTGTAATTTTATATTTGAAAAGTCACTCGTTAAAAACGATGTAAAATTTGTAGAGACATTAGGAATTTTTGGAAGCAGGAGTCATGAAAAATGAGGAAAGCCTTCGCCGGTAATCGAACCACGGATCTCTGGAATACGCGCCAAGCATGCAGACCACTACACCACGAAGGCACGCAAAGAAGGCGGGAGAAATAACTTATATACTCCCCCTTTTTAAAGGACGACTGCGGTTTTTAGGGGACCCACTCGCCAAATCCTGGGTGTGGAGAATCATCATCCACCACTCTTCGGGCGCCACTGATGAGACATTAGGATTTTTTGGAAGCAGGAGTCGAAAAATGAGCAACACTTTCTCCGGGAATCGAACCACGGACCTTTGGAATCTAGCATGCAGACCACTACACCACGAAGGCACGCTAAGAAGGCGGGAGGAATATCTTATAAATTCGATAATCAGTTACATGATCACACAATAAGCAACGTGATATAAAATTAGTTTACCAAAGTAAGTCATGGTTATACTTTGTTGAGTCATGGTTACCTTTGTTGAAGGATTTTCTAAAGCAAACTTACTGATAAAAATTGCTTTGAATTTAAATCAAGCGATGAAAACAACAGTTCAGTATGAAATCAAACCCCCAGTGAAGTCAGCTAGATCAGCTCTTTGCATCCATCTTAAAAAACCAGAAGTTGAATGATTTGGGAAGTTACCAGTTTTCAGACTTATCAATGTATCCACTAAAGAGCAAAAATAGTTTAATATTTAGTAATAATTTCTAATACTGTTCTGAAAATCGTACTGCAATGGGGTGTTTTCAATACAAAGTGACAAATGATAATGAAAATCATGTCATCCCTGATTTATGTTACTTCCTTTAGATGTGAAGATTAGTCGCCTTTATCCTCATAGTAAAAGGAAACAAATAAGAAGATATATACTGACAATCTGCTGCCTAAGATATTCTCCTACCAGAAAGATAACTTATTCTAGTGTAGTCCCGGAAAAGACCTTTTGTAGAAAGAGACAAAACATATAATCCCAATATTTAACAATTGAAGCAAAATGCGTTCATCTCCCCATTTAGAAAAACAGATTCCCCACTTTTAAAATAATTTGCATTTTAAATTCAGATAGCAGCTCTTAAGTTAAATTCTCGCTTCAGCAGGGGTCCTTAAACTTGAAGAAACAAAAAAATACGTTCTTGTCTATTAATGTAAACTATCACTTACCTTCGCATAGGTCTCCGTATTATGGTCGACAGCAAAACGGAAGCAACCTTCTAACAGCGAAGAGCGAATTCGCCAGTCGTCAACAATCTACTATGATTCAGCGTAAGTTGCAAATAAAGAACAACAGTATTACTTCCGCGTAATTAAGATTTGCGTACACTTCTGGACTAGATGAATTACTGTGAGAGCAGCCACGAAAATATGAACAGAGCAAAAACTTAAAACTTTAATATTTGAGAAAAAACACAGTTGTCATTAAATTTTTTAATGCGACCTCAGTAAAATTTGGAATTAAATATTTAGTGTATAAAGAATTTTATCTAAAACACCTCTTAAAGACGGGATAAATTCACGTGGATAAAAATAAGATACACGAGAAAAGCATGACTAAACATTTTCGGACTGACTACCAGCTGCACGAAATTTTTTAAAGGGGTGTCTTATCAATGTAAAAACAGAATGAGGAAAACAAGGAGCAGTAGCTAACATTTCCATCTCCCTCCTGTCTCATTAAATAAAGGGAAACTCAACAAAGAAAGTGCCAAAAAAATCTAAGAATTGCGCCACTTTGCTTTTGCTTTCTCCTCTTATCTAAGAACTTGCATTTCGGAGAACATAATTGCTACAAAAAGTCAGTTATCCTTATAAATGGGATATTTGGTTCAGGTTACAAATAGTTATTTTCGTCTTCCAAGTATTGTGAAAATTGAACATACAAAAATAA